CACAATAATGGTTTTCCGACCAGGAGGCTGCCGCATTCACATTTGCCATTGTGAATATAATTTGCCATTGCCTCTAGCAACAAACCTGCTTTCCTGCATTATAAATGTGTGTGGACATGTGTGGATGGATTGTGCGCAGAAACCCCCACACTGGATAACCATGTGTAATGCTGACAATGAGATATCCTGAAGATTCCTTCGAATTGTTTGTGCTGCACACGAGTCTTTGTCTTCTTTATAATCACCAATTGTGCTTGATCTGATATACTCTCTCCGTTTTCTCTTCAGGTATCTCATGAATGTGACGTTTGAAGGACGCAACCTCTCCTTCAGCGAGGACGGTTTTCAGATGCACCCAAAGTTGGTTATTATACTGTTAAATAAGGAGAGGCAGTACGAAAGGGTGGGTATCTCTCATCTTCTCACCTTTTGATTTCTCTTAAAGGGGATGCATTTATAATTCAAACACCTTGTTATTGGTGACAGTAGTGGGTGTTTAAGTCTGTGTGAAATCAAAATGTAGAATGTTTAAACGAGTAGGTGAACGATTCTTTCTTTCAAGTTAATCCTCTGAAAAATAATGTTGTTTTTTTTTGTCATTTTTAATCAATGTCTGAACATTTGCTTCCATGATTGAGGGTGATTTATGCTTGATGCATTCACTAGTTCGCTTGAGTTCGTGCGGCGACTGTGATGTCATTGTGGTGTTTGCGGAAGTTCGCTGTGGGTGTGCATGACTTCATTTTTAAGGCTCAAGTGAGCAGTTTGTGTGGCGCTGCATTTCATTTCAGCTGAATATGAATCTAGTTAAAGAGATTTCATCTGAACAGATACGACTGTACAGATATCTTTATCATCCATCCATGCGTGATCATAGGGATAACCAGATGGCCAATAATTCTTGGCTAGAAATTGCAACAGCCGTGGGAAAGGAAGAAAGTTTTTGTTAAAAAGTTTAGAAAAACTTGAGCTATAAGTTTGTTAAACCCAAAAAGAAATGCCAAAGCAAAAGTGGAGACCCAGGTGGTTTTAATAATTTAATAGTTAACAATTAAAGAATAGGATTTTTTCACCATTTATAGGTTTTACACTCATTTATATATTACAATTTTGAATATATAACAATTTAATAGTTACAAAACTATAATTAAGGAACAAATGATTTCTTTTATAAGTGGAAAAGAATGTTAACAAAGAACGTATGACCTTTTTCCCCAAATGGCACTGAGAGGAAATACTGCAGATATAATGGGTTTCAACTGAGACATTTTGGTCTTGGAATGTTTTCCAGTGTAATTCTTTTATACCTAGTGTAAAATAGATTTGGCAAAAGAAATATAGAAAATACATCTTTTTGCCAAAATGCATGCTGTCTACATTAACAGTCAAAAATAAATCGCACATACAGTAAATGTCTATAAGGATGCACAAGGTTTGAAATGACACTGTTATTATGAGGTATATTCAATGTTAAGATGAATTAGTGTAAATTCTTTTTTATATTCATGGGCATCAGGTTGACAGAGGATGTAATTAACCTTTGTGAATCAATTTAAAACGTTTACATACTTTAACAGAGGACAAAATGTCCATGTAAAAAAAATCATAAAAATATAGTATTTAAAAAAAACTATTATCACTTTTACCAACATGGATTTCTTTACTAGCATCAGTCCTGATGATAACTACCATGATTTAATAAATTTTTTAAAGATTATAACTATTTAAAATACTGTTTGCATTAGTGTTTCTCAACCATGTTTCTGGAGGACCACCAGCACTGCATGTTTTGGATGTCTCCTTGGTCTGTCACACCCATTTCAGGTCTTTCAGTGGCTGCTAATGAGCTGATGATCTGAATTAGGTGTGTTTGGTTAAGGAGACATGCTATGCGTCCCAAATCGCATACTTATACACTATTCTACACCATTTTGTAGTATAAATAGTGTAAGTAGTGCGTTCACACTAAAAGCTCTACAAATAATGTGCATTTTAACTACCCGGATGATGCAGTTATTCAATCGGTAAAATGAAGTGTGTAATGATGGACACTTCACGCACTCAATGACCACTGTTTTGCTCAATTAGCGGAAGAGGTGGAGCTATTTGGCGCACATGTTGGATTGCTTCATTTATTTTGGATTGTGAAAGCAAAATTCTCCTACATAAGTGATTAAAGTGTCTCCTGATGGTGAATGCGGTGAAACTCATGGCAGGTATTATTTGGTACTTTGGTCATCTATTTCACTGATTTGGCAACTGTCAAACGTCTTCAGGGAAAAGGTTTGATTTTCTGCTTAGCAAAAAACATTAGTGCTCCGTTTGGGAGACACTGCATACATATACTATTCTGTAGAGTGTGTAAGTGCATAAGTACATAGTGAAATATGAAAAATGTGCGGAGCTGGTGATCCTTCAAGGACGTGGTTGAGATACACTGGTTTAAAATATGCCTGTGCACAAAATCAGAAAACAAAAAATATATATTTGGTCCACAGACCAAACCTAAAAAAAGCACCAGAATATTAAACATTTTAGATTTTTAACAGTTAAATTGTTGAAGATTTGCCAACAAAATGAAAGCATGTTTACAAAGAACGTATGACATTTTTCCTAAATGGCACTGAAATGAAATACTGCAGATATAATGGGTTTCAACTGAGACATTTCAGTCTTGAACGTTTCTCAGTGTAATTCTTTGTACCCAGTGTAAACTAGATTTGGCAAAGGAAATATAAAACATTCAGTAACAACACACCTTTTTGCCAAAATACATGCTGTCTACCTTAACAGTCAACAATAAATCATGCATTAATGTCTATAAGGATGCACAAGGTCTGAAACGACACTGTTATTATAAAATATATTCAATGTATAGATAAATTAACACAAGTGTACATTCTTTTTTTCTATTTATGGGCATCAGGTTGACAGATGATGTAGTTAACCTTTACGTATCAATTTAAAAAGTTACCCAAAGTTCAATAGAGGACAAACTGTCGATGTCAAAACATCATAAAAAAATATAGTATTTAAAAAATAAGGATTTTCACTTTTACCAACATGGATTTCTTTACTAGCATCAGTCCTGATTATAAATATTTTAACCCTTTAGAATACAGTTTACATCAGTGTTTCTCAACCATGTTACTGGAGGACCACCAGCACTGCATGTTTTGGATGTCTCCTTTGTCTGTTACACTCATCACAGCTCTTCCAGTCTCTGCTAATGAGGTGATGATCTGAATCAGGTGTGTTTGATTAAGGAGACATGGAATATGTGCAGAGCTGGTGGTCCTCCAGGAACGTGGTTGATACACTGGTTTAAATAATGCCTGTGCACAAAACCAGAAAACTAAAAAATATATATTTGCTCCACAGACCAAACATGAAAAAAAATTCAAGAATATTAAACATTTTAGATTTTTAACAGTTAAAATGTTGAAGATTTGCCAACAAAATGAAAGGATGTTAACAAAGAACGTATGCCATTTTTCCTTAATGGCACTGAGATGAAATGCTGCAGATATAATGGGTTTCAACTGAGACATTTCAGTCTTGAACGTTTCCCAGTGTAATTCTTTGTACCTAGTGTAAAATAGATTTGGCAAAGGAAATATAAAACTTTCAATAAAAACACATATGTTTGCCAAAATGCATGCTGTCTACATTAACAGTCAAAAATAAATCATGCATAATGTCTGTAAGGAAACACAAGGGTTGACATGACAATTGTGTTTAATTATGAAGCATATTTCAGACTCTGTTTTGAATGAATTCATTGTCTTTGCACCACAGTAGAGAAATAATGAGATACTAATTCATTTTATGAGAATAAAAATCAGCCTGTGTAATATCCATAGACAACCTGTAAAGAAGGGGAAGATCTCGATTTTAACTTAGCTGTTCACACGTTGTCAATAATAAGTGATCAAAACATGCGTTTTTTTGAATACCGACAGAATAGCCCCTTTAACTCGTGACTGCACAGCTCTCCGATGTAATTATCAGCCTTCATTTACTCTTTATCTTAATTCAGGATTTGAGCCGTCCTCAAATCTAGCCCGCACTAATCCAATCTCAGCCACTTCAACCTCAACACCCTCTCATTATCTCACTTGTTATCCGTCTCTCATCTTCAGCTCTCATCTCGTCCTCTTTGCACTTTCGCAGGTCGGTAAATGGGAGAACGGGTCTCTGGCGATGAAGTACCACGTGTGGCCCCGCTTCGAGCTGTACTCGGACGCTGAGGAGCGCGAGGACGACCACCTGTCCATCGTCACACTGGAGGAGGCACCGTTCGTGATTGTGGAGGACGTTGATCCTCTCAGCGGCACCTGCATGAGGAATACAGTCCCCTGCCGAAAACAGCTCAAACTCCAGTGAGTTTACAGTATTAGTCGTTTTCGGGGATATGTGCTGCTGAGTTTCACAGTCATTTCAGATTTCAATAGAATTTTTTGTGAGAAATTAATTTAAGACTTCATCAATCAATCAAATACAGTAAACCCCAAAATATAGGAATGCAATGAAGACATGAGTCTCAAAATGTATTTGAAACTGTAAATAAACAGCAGAATTTGGGGAAATTATTAAGACTTTGGCTGAATATTCTGCTTGTTTTTGATTAATTTACTGGTCTTTTAATTCAGTTTTAAACGCCTAAAATATACACTCACCGGCCACTTTATTAGGTTCACCTGCTCGTTACGCAAATTTCTAATCAGCCAATCACATGGCATGACTCAATGCATTTAGGCCTGTAGACATACTGTAGTCAAGGCGATCTGCTGCAGTTTAAATCCAGCATCAGAATGGGGAAGATAGGTGAAGGTTGATGTCACACAGGCTGGTCTGAGTATTTCAGAAACTGCTGATCTACTGGGATTTTCACGCACAACCCTCTCTAGGATTTACAGAGAATGGTCTGAAAAGTTCTGTGGGCGAAAATGTTTTGTTGATGTCAGAGGTCAGAGGAGAATGGCCAGACTGGTTCCAGCTGATAGAAAGGCAACAGTAACTCAAAATAACCACTCGTCAACCGAAGTATGTAGAAGAGCTTCTCTGAACACACAACACATCCAACCTTGAGGCGGATGGGCTACAGCAGCAGAAGACCACACCTGGTGCCACTCCTGTCAGCTAAGAACAGGAAACTGAGGCTACAATTCACACAGGCTCACCAAAATTGAACAATAGAAGACTGGAAAATGTTGCCTGGTCTAATGGGTCTCGATTGGTGAGCCTCATTTGAATGATAAGATCAGAATTTGGCAACAATAAGATGAAAGCATGGATCTGTCCTGCCTTGTATCAACGGTTCGGGCTGGTGGTGGTGTAATGGTGTGTAAGATATCTTCTTGACAAACTTTAGGCCCATTAGTAGCAAGTAAGCATGTCAACGTCACAGCATATCTGAGTATTGTTGCTGACCATGTCCATCCCTTTATGACCACAGTGTACCCATCTTCTGATGGCTACTTCCAGCAGGATAAACACCATGTCATAAAGCGTGAATCATCCAGACTGGTTTCTTAACAACATGACAACTTCACTGTACTCAAATGGCCTCCACATTCACCAGAACTCAATCCAATAGAGCACCTTTTGGATGTGATGGAACGGGAGATTCACATCATGGATGTGCAGCCGACAAAACTGCAGCATTAGGGCAGTTCTGAATGCAAAAGAGGGTCCAACCCGGTACTAGTAAGGTGTACCAAATTAAGAGCGTATAAGTGGTATAAGAACAGTCTCAATTCAAGAGTTCTGATATTTAAGCAGCAAACTGAAACCACAAATTCATTACTTAAAATGTTAACAAAATTTACATTTGTCAGAGGAAACATTCCTCATGTTGAATGTTGAATTAATTTTATATATATATATATATATATATATATATATATATATATATATATATATATATATATATAAAATAAATCAATAAAAATGAAAAAAAAAATTAAGAAAATTTTGGTCCAACTTTATATTAAGTGACATTAACAACTATGTACTAACATCAAAATATAAATACAATGTACTTAATGTGTTCATAATATATTGCAGAACACTTCTGGTGCTCTTCAGGCGAGATACTGGTAGGTTTAGGGTCAGGTTTGGTGTTATGGATAGGTTTAAGGGTGGGTTAAGATGTAAGAGATAGTCAACAGTGTAACTATAAATGAAAGTACAAATATTATTAAAGCTGTCATTACATGCAGGTATTAATTCAAGCATAAGTACAATGTAAAAATATGTACTTACACAATAAATACATTGTAACAATTTTTTTTTTCAGTATAAGTATTTATTAGTTAAGGCCACTTAATATGAAGTGGGAGCAAATGTTTACCAATAATAATTTATATTTAAATCATTCCTATTCAGAAAAAAAGCTAATATGTGAGTTTTTATTTTATAAAATATTACTAAAACATTACTTTTTTTACACATTACATTATATATATAGAAAATAGAAAAAAGTTATTTCTATATTATTTTTTACAGTCATTCTAATTTTTCTTATATTTAATTTGCCTTAAAAAGTCTTTAATAAGCCTTAAATGACCTTAAAAACACTACAGAGACTTTTAATGTTCGTTTTCAATGAAAACTATTACAATTAATGAAAGAATTGTCAAATATATACATTTTCAAGGGTCTCAGACCTACCTTATTGTAGGTCTATAAAGATTTATTTAACAATGACAAGATGAACCACACAATATACAGTAGGTGAACTATCTAAAATCTAAAATCAGTCATCGCATGAGATCAGATACTAATCCTGACTGACAAAATGTTGATTCGTCTGATGAAAGCTCTAAGTATAGATCCTCCATTCAGGGCGCTCCATCACTGTCAGCATGAGATGATATCACAGAGTACGAGGATGTGGTGTATTACATATTGTAAAACACTGAAGTATTTATAGATTAAAACTGGTGTCTCGTGTCTCTCTTTAACACTGCTTATAAAATAATAACGTTGTCAATTTAGTGTTAAATCCATTTAGCACTGTTGTAATAAATTACCGCTAAAACTCGTTTATTGTGAGAAATGATCCGGAATGAATGTGCATTTTGACAAATCTAAATCGCCTTGCTCTGTTGTAGTCAATGCAATAGTGCAGCAGTCATTAGTCATTCTGATGTTATTTTGGCTCATTGATTGATTTCTAGAGATGGAGATTTATTATGAAATGGTGTTTTGATCAGGGATTGATGAACGGCAGATGCAAAATTTGTTAAATGCTGTCTTCTCTATTTAAAAAAAACTTTCAGTGCCAACATTAATCTTCTCACTGGTTTTCTTCCTCTTGTTAGAAATCTGACAGGAGATTCAGGGATCTACATTAAACGCTGTTGTAAGGGCTTCTGTATAGACATCCTCAAGAAGATCGCCAAGTCTGTCAAATTCACCTACGATCTCTACTTGGTGACCAATGGGAAACACGGCAAGAAGATCAACGGCACATGGAACGGAATGGTTGGAGAGGTAAGCATCAATATATATTCTGTAAGAAAATGTCTGGTTTACTGGTTTTACGTAACCTGCTGGTTTTGTATTATACTTATTGATGATAGAGAGGGAAGCTTATCATAATTTATGCTTTGGTTTCATCACAATATATAGGTATGGTTCTTATTTGTTTTATTTCTGCTAGAATAAAAACAGTTTAAAAAAAAAAATATATATATATATATATATATATATATATATATATATATATATATATATATATATTAAGGCCAATATTATTAATTATTATTAATATTGAACTTTAAGCAATTTTTGTTTTAGATTCAAGTTAGTTAAGCCTTTAAATGTCTGGTAAAATATTATTTACTGTCATCATGGCAAAGATAAAATAAATCAGTTATAAGAAATAAGGTATTAAAACTATTATGTTTAGAAATGTGTTGAAAAAATAAAAAATCTGCTCTCCTTTAAACAGAAATTGGGGAAAAAATAAAAAAGGGGGCTAATAATTCTAACTTTTATATATATATAGTATAGTAAAAGTAATATATGTATATGTATGTATGTATGTATGAGCAATAACACACTCGTAGCAGTGCGATATGGCTGTATATCGGCACTGGTGGGAGGCCACAGTCCGAGTGCCTTAGTGTCCTGATATACAGCCATATCACACTGATACGAGTGTGATATTGTGTTTATAAACTGTTCTAAAACTAGAACTAGAAATAGAACTATAATAGTTCTATTGCATAATAGCGAAAATAAAAAAGAAAATCAAACATGGAGAGTCTAAATATCATTTTGTAAGTGCAACTGCTTTCTTTGGCATCTACATACACATCTGCATCTACATACACATCATATGCGAGCATAAGTAGAATGTGAACATTTTGAGTTTACTCGCTTTATTCGTGCATCAAATCCGCTTCATTCGCATGTCAAATTCACTTCACAATAGATGCTGATTCACATGATGGGCAGGGCTTTCTGCTAAATGTCTAACATGGATTTTATTAAGATTTAGAGAAAAGCTGTGTTTATGTGCTTTATGAAGGCTGAAAAACAGTCAATTCATTCGGAGCCGTTTCTGAGTCCACTAGATCACTTCAGAGGTGCACCCAGCTCTGTGAGTTTATCAACTCCTCCAGAAACTGTACCTGGATGATGGACGCTTTCAGCAGTGCTTCCAACTGAGCTAAGCCCAGTCTGATGAACTGTTGTCTGGTGTAGGCAGGTGGATTTTCCGCTGAGACACCAACAACAGGTGTTATGTCATAATCACGTCCCTACAAGACAAAGCTCATGATTGGGTAACGCGGTGCGAATGTCCCCCAAATTTCAGATTTTCCAACTCGCGCATAACGCTCAACTCTCGCTGCTTTATTCATGCGAATCGTGTTGCAGGGTGTCTATTTGTGTCTTTGCATCGACTTGTAAATCACTCGCGCTTGACGCTTCATCTGTGTGAACGCAGCATAAGGACGTAATTTAAGGTCTCTGTCGCCATCTTGTGGTGCAACGTCAACCGTCTTTGTTCTGCTCAGTATGACGGATGCCAAGGCCCTGTATCCGAATTTATAATTTATTTCAAAATAGGCACTGTCCTTATAAATGAACAGCGTAGTTGCAATCTAAACAACTATATTCTCGACTAAAAAAGCCTCAAAAGTACATTATGTTGCTGTATAGCTGCAATAGTTGTCAAATTGTATTTAGTTTATTGATGGAGGGGGGTGGAGAAATATAGATGGGTGAGGAGGCTGTACGAGTGATGTTATTGCAGAATATCGTACAGCTATCAGCCAATCAGATTCGAGAACCAGACAGAACTGTTGTATACCATGAGGAATGTAAGGAATTACAATGGTCCTAAAGTATTTCCTCTTTTAAATTTTTCATTTCCATAGCTCCCGAGAATCCAAAAAGGTCCACATATTGATAAATAATGTTATGATCATCGTTTTAGCTTAAATTTATGATTGAATTTATGATGGAATGATAATCTGTCACCTTCAACAAAATTAACTAATAGAAAACCTCTCAAAACAGACATTAAAAAATAGAACAAAAAGCTAATAAACGTTTGAAAAAATGAATATCTAACCAAAAATAAAAATGAAAATGGTTAAATGTTTACATAAATATTAATATTAACTGCAATATAATGAAATAACTGTAAAAATGTATGATAAAATATCATTTAAAATGTGTTTTTTTTCATGTTTACATTATTTCAGTGGTTTATTTTATTATTATTAACAAATTAACATATTTCTTTAATTTTAGTAGTTTAAGTAGCAATCCCCTTTCTTGCAATGGACAGTACAATAATAATTAGTACATGGTTCTGGAGAATCTGTGGATTTCTGCTTACATATTATATCCAAAAAATGAAAATCTGAACCGTGTCTCTCATGACAAGAACAGATGAAAGAGAAAGAAAATGTGAGCAAGTGAGTTTGCACAAGCCCAAGGGAAAATACAGCTGGTGCATTAATTCAGATGAGAAATAATGTGAGTTACCGGATCATATGTAAATCCACAGTAGGAATGAATGTTATGCCGTTTCCCTTCAGCCCCAGTCATACGAATACTCTCAGAACCGCACCACATTTGGAGGCACAGACTTTTAGTAGCTTGCGTTATGTTTGCTTAATGTCTTTACGAGATTTGATGCTCCAAGACACTTTCATGTTCAGAGAAAGAAGCTATAAAACAACACACTCCAGCAAATATGCAAAATATAGTCTCATATTTTGAAATAAAAAAAAACTGAGGAAGAAAACAGGATATGGAATAGTACTACTCAACATTCAGCCTACAGGGCATTTTTGTGGCCCTCATTTTTATTTTGGAGATTCTGCAATGTAAATCCACAGTGCAATTTAAAATAAAATCAGCCCTGAAGATGAAATCTATACTACAGTCTGCTAACCACGCCACAGACGGGTGCTTACAGTACAGCTTCATTGATTCCAACAGAAGAGATTTAAGTTTTTATGTGTGCCTGTGCTAGTGTATAGTACTCAGCAGCCTCATTAATATAACACAGGCACTGTAAAAATTAGGTGTGCGGCCCTTGAGGCTAAATGGATCCGGCTCTGTGGGCCCTCAAGTGGCTCTCATATAGACTGAGCCTTTCTGTAGCGTACTATCGCCTCTGTTTTGTCCCATTTTCATATATCACCAGAGGCCCGTATATGTAACTCTAAATATACCTAGACAAGTGATGGGTTTGGGGAAGTGGCGATTAGGGAAAGGTTGAAAAGAAGGAGAAACGGCTATTAAAAGCTACTGCGACCCACTGTAAGAAGTACTGTAACCTGATTTCAGGTTGCCTTGGTGGTGTTTTTTCATGGTTTTTCATTCACTAGTTCCCGTTTTGTCTTTGTTTCACCTTTTTTCTTCTGACACTGATATTCTTTCCATCTCTGTGTGGCAGGCCTGGACTGGTCCAAGTTCAATATAAAGGTCTGTGCACAACAAGAAAAATAACTTTAAAGATAAGAAAAAATAAACAAGTTGCTCTCAAAGAGGATTTATGGTCAGATTTATTCTCTATTTTGGGGTGGGTGGGAGGTAAAAACTACTGTCAAGATATTAAATACACATGATGAAACATGTACGCTGAAAAGGCATGGACTATGTTTTTTTTTTTGGCTTACCTTTTTTTCATTAAAATCTCCAAAAGTGGTGGCACAGTGGCTCAGTGGTTAGAACTGTTGGCTCACAGCAAGATCATTGGTTTGAGACCTGGCTGGGCCAGTTGGCATTCTGTGTGGCATATTTTGATGACTTGTGTACATTTTCCCAAATATCTTAAAGAATGTTCAAATCCAGAGAAATTGCCACGCTAATAATGTCACACGCACACTTAATTTCCAGTTTAGGTTTTTATATGGATGTCCCGGTCAGATTTTTTTGCGCTAGAGTCTGAGTCATTTGATTTTGAGTATCTACCCATACCGAAACCCGATTGGATACTTCTATAATACATAAAAAAATAAAGAAGAGTGAAGAAACAGATCCAGGATGTTCCTTATTTTTTTTATTGAATTCACCTTATTTTAACATTCAACAACTCTGTTAACAAACAGAGCACTTCTGTGAGGAAGCTTGAACAATCAAGTAATAAATAACATCAATACTTTTGGACTTTAGTGCAACAGTAAATAAAAAAAGAATCTAATAAAAAACAGATAGCATCTCAACTTAAAATATGCGACTGGCAATCCCAAGTTTACATATCTCACAGTTTGCTATGTTAGTGAAACACTGTAGAAACACTTGCGTTTTCCATTTCAAGCTGCTTCCATGTTCTACTTTGCCGGCATTAACCAATAGCGTCTCTAGAATAAAGTGATGTCATGCAGCACATGTTTCTGTTTCTGTGTGAAGTCAAGAAAAAGGTCTAACTCTGTGCCACTGCATAACTATAGATTTAAAAAATAATGAGAATATGTACAGTATGTATACATATGTATATCCCTGATCGGGAGGTAATATGTAACTTCGAAACTGTGTGATCGGGCACGATTTTCGATCACGTTTATTGCATCTAAACATGCCTACGTTTACTTTTTTTTTTTTTTTTTTTGAAAATAAGGAAACACCAAAGATTCTTTAATATGTTGTATGTAACTATGTTTATGTATAAAAACTGTAAGTGTAAACGCTATTAGTTTCTAGTTAATTAGTCAAAGTAATTAGTCACTAATAATAAATGTTAACTTTTCCAAATTTGATTGTAATGCAGTTTTGCACCTTTTTTAAAGCTGCTTTGAAACACAAATTATTGTGAAAAGCCCTATACAAATAAACATTAATTGAATAAGACCGCAGAGAACAGCATTATTATAACCGAGTCTTAAAATGTATTTAGTATAATAAAACAGCGCTGGTTCTGCCCCATGTGATCATGAGCGGAAGAACCAGAAGCGGTGGCATAATAAAAGCTCTGCTGCTTTTTTCCCCACATCATGCTCATCTCTCATCAGCTTTTAGTTTAGCGT